CACACGCCTACCTTTTGCAGAGTACGCGTGAAAACGACTCCAATCATAAGCACTGACCCAGACACCAACAAACGTCGAAGAGAATCTTAATTTCCAAGCAAGTCCAACTAAGGAAGGCCACATTAATCCTTTTTCCTGCACATAGAATCGAAAATGTAAAGACTCAACATTCCAATCTGGTTTTTCTTCACACTCAATTTATCACTTTTGGCCTTCTTAAAATAAAATGGATCTAAATTCTTCTCATTGACATTTATCACTCACTTGAGTAAATATTAGACATTATTTTTAAGGTATCAGAGCAAAAAAATATAGAATCTTATGGCTACGTTAGCTTTACAATTTCATCTTGTTTTGGCATTCCTCTTCAACACGAACAGCGAGACCTAAAACAGTGCAGTTTTCTAGAAACTCACATAATACTGTAACTTGGCTTTTCTTATTCAGCTTTCTTACTAACGGTCCAGGAATCGTTAAGTTTTTAGCACCTTGGGGCCAGCTAAAGCTGTTTGCTTTATAGGTAGCAGCCACTCTTTATACAAATTCATCATGAATGCACAAAATGCAGAGGAAAGTACAAATTTGTTGGTCTTATAGGAAAAAATCTGCATGAATACCAACGGACTTCACTCTGCAGTACTGAAAACACTTTTTTACTCCCGTATCGTTTTTTACCGGTAATTTGCTGCAAAAAACTCTGCATACATTGAAGCTGACTTGACTTTAAAGTTTTGCTTACTTTCGATGCTACAAGCTGCGAAAGTTCCACTAGCGGCACTCGACCGTTTAAAGACAAATGGTTAACTTTGTGCCAAAAGGCACTGGTTTTGCTTTATTTGACACATCGTTCTCAATAGCCTTAGTGTCATTAAAGTTTGGCAATCGGTTTAACATTTGTAACAATCCAGGCTTATCAAATGCTCTGAATGCCCTCTTCCTTAGTTAACGTATTACTGCTGGGGATATTTATAAGATTTAAAACACGTCTCATCGGAGTTATGGCCAGATTGGAGTCAGCAGCTATGTTAAAAGCTTCAACTACTGAGTAATTAGTGGGTTTTGTTACATATTATTAGCCTCTGATAAACATGTTTAAAATGTTCTACTTTGCTTGTAATAGTAACAAGTTTATTATATTTTATGCACATCTAAAATTCGCATTTGGCCACATCTATCCTAGCGTTGCAAACAATCCAAGCTGTAAATGCTTAATTTTTTACTGATCGCTCATATCTTTGGTCTTTTTAAAGGCCTGCTAATTTCGTACCCCACTTATCATCCCAGGACACTGATGTGGACACTAACGACATCCCCTTTTCGAGCTTATAAGCCTAGGAATTACTAACCTGTGTAAATAGAAACTCAATCCAAGTATCCACTGATCAAAATCGGAAACTGTTTAAATTTGTTTTGGAGTTGCAGTAAGTACATGCACACGGCCTTTCGTTCCGCTAATCTTGGGTTGGGACTAGGCATTAACTAGTGCATTGAACTCACACTTCAGACTACTCTTTGATGTCAAAACAGCATTGTTGAACCTATCGAATCAATAACTTTAGAGCATTTATTTCCCGTAATGAGGAACACCTCAAATTTCTCTTGTTTTTTAGTGAAATACTAAATAAAATATTAATATGATTGTAGGTGATTGTATGGTCCTACCAATTATTTTGAATTCCTTTACAATTATCTAACTTGAAAAGGGTTACCAATATCAGTGAGATGAAATAAAAGAATAGGCTCGAAGATTTGATGCGTATTGCATGGCACAGATTTGCAGTTGCAGTGATGTTTGTGACGTTACGAGATCACACCAACGCTGTAGTGGTTGCTTAAGCGTGATGCCTCATACACACAGGATTGTGCAGCCTCTATGGTTCCGCGTCTGACTGGCTGCCACACATGCACTCATGCACGCGCACAAAGTAGGTGCTGGGCTCCTCAAAGTGCTATTGGACGGTCACCAGGCAGCAGCTCTTACTCCAACCTTCGTCGCCATGATTAGAACGAACCTTCCTGTGCATTGATTAAGATGCCGCTTGTGTTATGGATTGCACTCCTTTTGGTGCCTATAATCGGTTTAAAAGGTGACATTTTTCTTTGTGAGTCTTACTGACTACCAAGCGTTTTCTTTTCTGCAAAATTTATGATTTTCCGTGGTTTATGTACAAATTTTGTATTCTCTCGATCGTGTTTAGTAGTTGATGCACCTACCCAACGACCACAACCACTTTTCGGGCACAGTGTGTTATCAAAAGCAGAAGTTAGTATTCACTCTGAATCTCATGAACTTGTGGAGTGCTTAAACAACTAATAAGTGGTGCATTCACAGAACATTCCGAAAGTCTATTTTCGATGGCATTGTGCTTTAAACTTGGACTGTGACAAATTTGTGCTTATTGTAAAGTGGTTAAATTTCTTTTTGAGTTGACAAATTTTTGTTTGAACTGCAGTGGATAGTTTGGGTGATGACGTCCCTTTCAAAGAGTAGAAGTGACATTTTTGCAACCGCCTCAATCAGCTAATTTAATAGTACACTAAAAGTAAGTGAAGAAAATTGGTGCGCACATATAGGAAAACTAAGGAATGCTCGAGTCACAGTCTCAACCTGCATCTTTCTTTGCATTTACGACTTAACGTATAATGAAGAGGTAACTTATGCAGTGATTCCTGAAATTTTTCTAAATGTCTGCAAGACTGAAAACGAAAGTAAAAAACTCACAAAAGATGCTTTCGGTGACTTTCGTGTGCTTGGTAGTCATAATTTCCTGTAAACATCTCGACTCTCAACCTCTACCAGTTGTTGAAAGCTGAGACGAGGTTAGCCTCAAGACTGTTCGTTGTGTCAAGAGAATCTCACTTTGGGCACCCGTCTTGTCAACGCCGTGTCTACGTGGCTGACGTTCCAATACGGGCACCATCCATTCCCTACGCGCTTCCACGTGCATACAAAGTGACTGAAGCACTCAGCAGTTCTTCCATCAAACAGGACACGTTTGAGTACTCCAATATTCGTACTTCAAGGCAAATCTTTGCAGAATGATTAAGCACACTAAACCAGGAATAGCGAATTCCATTTCTAAGGTTTTGTTTGGTTTTGGACTCTGCGTAACTGTCGCATTGTGTTTGGAGGTTGGTATGTTGGTTATATTTGGTTAACCTGGGAAGATGTTGCGATCTACTTTTACTTACAATAGCTAAGTCGCCTGATAGAAATGCCGCCGCAATGTTAAGAACTTTCCCGCAGACTGCGTTCAATTCTTGCCATGTCGACAATATGCATGTACCATCGCTGGACCTAAACCCAGCCGATTTACTTGCTGCCTGTATAAAGCTGCTGGAAAGGATGCGAGAACAAACCAATGCCTCTACCGCGGAGAAATCAGTGATAGCCATACCCAAATACATGAGTACGTTATTATTGCATGTACTTCAAATCGCCTTCTTCTGCCCTAGCAAATAGCAAGGTTTTAAGTTATGTTGTGACCCCATTAATTGAAATAGACAGAACTTTATTAAAACCTTTTTCCCGTAAACTTGTTGTGATGGCCCAAAGCAGTGCGAACGCCGGTTTGTGCTGAAACTGTATGTTGAGACAGCCGCCAATTCGCAAAAGTTTGCCACGCCATTAAAATTATGAGAATCTACAGCCATCAATTTTCTCCAATTGCTCTCAACTTAACAATAGAAGCAACTGAACACTTTATTCATTAGTGGCTTGGCTTGAGAGGCAACCAAGCGTACTTTGACTAGACCATTGAAAAGAGAGAGCCATCGGTACGTTTGGAGAAGTGCGGATAAGCTTGCAGTGGCTTGAGAGTAGCTTCTTCATTCGAGGAGATCCACATCCTTCGTGCATTTACGGGTCTTTTGTCTTCTTTTCAGCTGCAATCGAAAATCCCTTTGTATGTAAGCTGTCTTCAAGAGTTGCCCAATACTTTGCTTGTGTGTTTCTTAAGCAATTTTCAATAGGCCTTTAACATTGCTTTCAATGATAAATGCGCACTCATAGCATAGTTTTAAAATTTGCATACTCTGTATTGGTCCTCTGGATTCTAACCCAACTTTAGCCAATTTCACTAAAACTCAAGCCTCTGCGCTCACTTACCGATTCCGACAGGGTATGTGGTAAGCTTAAGTTTGCGCACGCCAACACAAAATCAGTTCTTGCCGTGTGAATTGGATTTAAATTCACAAAATGTTGTGCCCCAACAACGTTGCACGCTGTTGCCACACAATGCCGCATCTAATAACCCGCTACATCTCACTTTTGTATGCATTTGACAGTTTGGAATTTTATCTGTTTTTAGTGCTCCCCTTCATATCCGTCGCTCAGGCCCTAAGAACGAAAATGATGATATTCTGGTATCAGGATACGAATGATGTCAACATTTTAACGACCAAGATTAATGAAGCCAACGCCAACAATGTGCTCCTATTGTTACCTTTTACACAGTTAACTAGTGTTCTCGAAAGTGTAAGAACCATTTACCCTACCATGCTTCAACACTGGTAAAGAAGTCAACACATTCCCAAAATATGCAGCCAACTTCTAGATGCTGCAGAAGATTGCGCCCCACCAACGGTGTTGGGCACCCAATTTGTTTGCTACAGTTTCTGTAATGCACATAACAAACGCAAGTTGTCAAAAGGGATGTTGAAAACTGTGCGAAGTTCCCACGGGTGTATTCACACTCGTTCATCGGCATTTGGCCGATGTCACTGAATCCCATTTTGTGCTTATTAGGAAGTCGAAAGTTAACATTTTGTAAAAAAAAGATTAAGTTAAATTCATTGCTGTCAACTTCCGTGTAGCAAAAACCTTCTCTTGTCACGATGAGAGCAAATTTTCATTGTACACGATGAACCTGGCAACCGCACAGCCGCAACCTGTGCTAGCAAAAGTACTGGACGATCGTTTATGCATCTGCGGGCAGAAGAAGGAGGGCCAAGTGTAGTCCTGAGTAAAAGCATCGCTGTGCGACTAAGTAAATTCATGAATGCTTTGTTCACTTTGTGTTCTTCTTCATTTGTGGAGGTGTTTATTGCTAATATTTTGATTTTTACAACCAAAATAACTGAAGTCATAATGGCTCAGGGTTTCTTTATTAACTATGGCAAACGGGCGAGCTTCTAATGTGACATTCATTAAAACTTTGCATTATTTTTGCTGCTCATTTTTATTCGTCCTCCATTCTTTTTGCAAATGTAGGCCTTCGAGAAAAACTTATTTACATGGAATCGGCGCTGGGTTATAATGGCATTGGTAAGTGCTGCATCGAGTCTAGCACGAATTGTCCTCTAACGGCATGGCTAAAGTCGACACGTCGAGCAACAGGGCGCCTTATCCATCTCCCGTCATCATACTGCAAATTCCAAAACCACTTTCTGACAGGCTGATAAAGACAGGATGGTCAAATGCATGTCCCTAAGGCCAAAATTGTGCATCACAAAGAATATCAAAAGCCTTAAGCTATTTATGCATTCCGTGGTTTTTATAGCAGACAGCCATCAAATGAAGTCTCAAAGCACAGCAATTTTAAACTAACCTTGTTTTCCTTCAAGGATGGGTCTTTACCCACATTGTCTGGTAATCAGGAGGTGCCGAATGGGAATATTTCCGTAGTTCAAGTTGGAAAGGCAACCAATGTGAGTGCTCGCATGTTGGAGACGGTCGAAGACATGTTGGCCTATGATACGGCTGTTGTGACCAAAGCGTACATTGACGTTGTCTGCAACAAATGGAGCAAAGTATGTGAACGTTGCTTGATATGTAGTGAATCGCATAGGTGAAGAACGCCAAAATTGAGGGCGTTACGGGTGACTTCAACATGGCAAATCTCGAATCGCCGAGAGAAAATGTCGTCTTGACGATTAACAGAGGTCTGACCACACAACCTGTAGTTGTACGTTATGACATTTCACTGTGCTGCAACCAAGTTGCGTGACGTTTTAGGGAAAAATTGCCATCAAATCGGTAGGGCATAAGAGTGTAGTGTGTAAAAGACACGGCGAATTCAACACATTTTATGCTGCGTTTTGCCAGTTCTAATTTCAATATACACTTGTACAACTTACATTGTAAATAAAAGTGAAATTTATGCAAGAAATCGTCCCAAGCACTTTCTGCACTTTAGGTTGGCAACATTACCATAACGAAAGGTGGGATCACCATTGAGGGATCGTTTGATCAACTGTTCACCTTTTCGGATGAAGAAATGAAGGCGATTTTGACTTCTCGCAGTGTCAGACTTGCTGTTACTCTGGTAACTTTTCTTTCTCGTATTTCTTACATCCGCTGCTGCCCTTAAGCAGGGAGAGGTGAGAATACGTTTGTTGTTGTTCAATAGTGCACTTCACGGTAATGGTTCACTCCACCTTAGCCATGTTCATTAGCAGGTTGCCCATGAACTAACAAAAAAACCATTTCAAAACACAGAACTACTCGATCGGTCGCCCCATGTTTGTGGTCAACCTCAAAGTTAAAATAGCTGAATTACCATTTACAGTCACTTCGGTTGTAGGGCATCAAAGGGAATTGGCAGGAGGTTCAAATGTACTGTAGCTTACTGTGTTCCACTCAAAAGTTCTCAGTTAAGCCCTTCTTCAATTCGCACAACTTAAAGATTTTGGTAACTGGCTGTGCTCTCTCATGCCTGGTGGCAACTTTACTTATGCAATGTTGCTTTTGTCACCGTTCTAGGCTCCACCGTTTGCGATGCTGAGCGAGAAGGCTGCTCACCCACTCGGAACACCTACTTCTTGCCTCATCACTGACCTGAGCGGCCTGTCAGTTGACATAGTCCGCGAAATCCTCGCTCCACTTAAAGTGACTTACCAATGCACCTGCTACCCCTCGAACCTTCGCGATGATTCTTTGCAAAGTGTTTATAATGGGGTAGAATTGCCACTTTCGGCTTAATTTTTCTTGCATATCACCCAGTTTCCAGTTTGAATGCATTACGAAGTTTTATTTTGATTAACACACTCACCAAAGCCAATGATATTATTAAAAATTTAAGACTACTGCCTTCATTCACACATCTGTCACACACAGAAACAGTTGTAATCTAATCACAAGTAAGTGTAGTGGTGGAAGGAGACCTCACGAAGCGATGTACTTCGTATACGTTTTTTTGCACAACCACCAGAGTTGGTGAAGACTTAATCTTTTTGCTCTGCTCGCTTCTACTCGCATCCAACATTGAAAGCATAGATGGCTACCAACTGCCCCTGTTGCTCTACGTTCACGAAACTTTCAACCACGTCTTTTGGAAGCCTTGTCGGAGACTCTAAAACTTTCCGAAAAGGCAGACTCTCATAATCAAATCTAAACGTGCTAGCTGCAAGTTGCAAACACGAAAGGAAGGAAGCATTTGAGTAATACGCTTTTATGGAGAGCAAAGGACAGACCTTCTATCTATGATATGGGTTAAAACTAAAGACTCTGAAATAAATTTGAATTTCCAAAACAGCACCACTTTTTTCGCTACCTAGTTGGCAGACATGGCAGTTGGAGAATTCGCGGTGCTGCCTCAACTGAAGGATAATTTCGATTTCATAAGCAACTTCCTCTACTTTACTTTCTCAATTTTGGAAAAACCACTTGCTAACACGGAAACGACTTCCTTCTGGCTCTTCTTCAAACCTCTTTCTGCGGGCACATGGATTATGATGGTGTTCTGCTGTTTTGTGGCAGCATTGGTTCTTGCCACACTCAACTACTTCTCACCCAACCAAGTGGACTACGGCTTCATTGAGTCCATTTTCGTAACCTTTGGATGCCTTTTTCAAGGCCTCACCGTCTCTCCTCCCAATACCTGGTCAAGCCGATTCATGCAATGTGTCTGGTGGCTCTTTGTCCTCTTCTTCATTGTCATTTATATTGCTAACTATGCGGCTATTATTATGAACAATGGCATCCAAAGCGAGGCTACTGGGTTTACAGTAAGCGGGGATTTATGAATCTTTCACAGACACAGTCTCTTTCTATGATAAAATTCCCACGTTTTGTGTTCCATGTAGCCAGTAAAAGCATCGAAGTCAACAAAGCTCATTTGTCCCATGTAGCAAAGGTGCAGTTCGCAAGTGTGAAATTGTCGAAATTGTGCACAGGGTCGATGGCGTGAAAATTGTTTTCGTTATAGGCTTTGTTGGTTGATCCATCCACTCCTTTTGGAGCAATACCCAATTCAATGGCTGCTGCACAGTTAGATTTCTCCCGGGAATTAGAAATACAAAAAATCAACTATCTCAGCAACAAACTCTATCCTCAAGATAGTACAAGTGATATCACCATCGAGGATCGTGTGAAAGAGGTTAGTGAAGGAAAATACAGACTCATTGGGGATAGCTTTTCTCTTGAGTATTTCGCGTCGAACTATTGTCTGGCTGTTAGTGGAGAGTTCTCCTCTCAACAGTATGCCTTCATCCTCAAAAAGGGTACCGTTTATACCACCTTTCTAAACAGCCTGCTGACAAATCTAACCAACAAGGGCAGCATCAAAACCATAATTGACAAGTAAGTTTTCTCGTTTATGTGTAAAATGATAAGTTTACAAATCGCTCCATCTTTATTTCAGAACTGCTCTTAAGTCTAAAACTTTTAACTGACGTACATTTTTTCCGGCCTAGAAACACTTAGGCGTATATTCTGATGTAGCAAAATTATGAAACTCCCTCTCAAGCATGACGTTATCTTCAAACCTACAATCACCAGCATGCTCTTCCAAAATAAATGGGCAAATTAAAAAGACCGCCAAAACATGGGATAAACAGGCCTAAATCCTCTTAAATGAACTCTTCCATCCCGTCATGGTTTTGTGTGTGTTTGCATACTTCCGAAATTCTAGCATTTCTCACTGCGAATTAATGACGATCATGCAACCGTTGGGTTTACATTATCGTGCGTCTCCATGTAAATTAGAGAGTACGGAAATGTTACAGGTACATCACTCCTGCCGGCATCAGTTCATGCACAGTACCCATAAAACCAGAATCCACTGATGAAGGCCTCCGACACACTATCACCCTGACCGAAGTCGCTGGCATCTTCATACTCATGCTCATCGGCATCGCGGTTGCCATCATCCTCTCGGTGGTCGAATGTCTCCTCACTCGAAAAATGATAGTAAGTGCCACTCTAGTGCCTTGTAACCCGAACTTGGCATGCCCATCCAGGAGTTAAGAGCTTCCAAATAGTATGGCAAGACTAAACACCTTTGAAGCTGACTATTTGCCTATCGCTTTTAAATTTAAGTCCAGATTAATAGGTGCTGCAGGAATCAGCGACTGTGCTGATCTGTCGGTCATGCGTTACTTTATGCGCTCACACGAATGCGCGATTGGCCGTTTTCTTTGACTAGCTATAACACTAACAAAGCAACCTTCTGAAGTAAGTTGTTTATAAAGCACTGCTTTTCTGCTTGATGTGAAAGAATTTACATTTTCATCAAATGAAATCCAGAGTGTCGAAAGCTTTTTTTACTTAGCCTTTTGCCGACCGTATGGTGCCTTCCGGAACTAGAGCCCGACTTCGCAACTTCTTCTGAACAGTTCTGATTGCTGTACACTTCTAAGTACCGCATTACTTTAACTGACATCTTTATGTTTGAATCAGAAGTATGTCCATTTATCATCCAAATAAAAATGCTATAAATTTAAGGGAGGTTTCTTGCTATTTGGTACTGCCACAGTGCATTTACTCTAAGGGCCCTCAACCCATATGTGTTCCATCCCACTTTTTAGGTGGACATTTGCTTGGCTATATTTATAATTAATAAGTTTAACAATACGTGCTTGATTTTTACTCTCAAAACATTGTTACGCGATTGTATCTTGGGCAAAGTAGAGGAGGGAAGTGCAGAAGAGGATAAAAGGTGTCAATAATGAAGTGCGTGAGCCGTGAACTCATAGACGTTGGAGAACTCCTTGCTACACATGTTACATCGCCAAGGGTTAAAGGAGGTGTGAAGGCCCATGTGGAGATTGAAGAGAGTCTGGTCGGAGAAGCCAATCGTACAGTGCCGACACACAAATGGGTAATGCGCCGAGGGACCCGGTCCATTTGGCTCCGATGTCTGCCAGTGGCAAGAGCTGCCTGACGCACCTAATTCTCCAACAACCTCCTCGCACTCTATCGAACTGGCGACCCCTTTGCCTCCACCTCGTGTTACTAGCATAGCGCCCATCTCTTCCACTTTCGCGGTGCGCACCTTCTTCTCCGCTGGCGGTTCAATGCGTAAGGCCTTGCAGTTAAAGTCAGAATTGTTAAGCTAAGTAACACTTGTCCGTTCTATCATTTGGTCATCAGTCGAAGAGTCATCATGCGTAAGTCATAAGTGAACTGCACCACTGATGTAGTATACAGTGAACAACCGATCGTCAATTTAGAGTCCACTGGGCTATTTTGACTTTTACCTTATACTTTTAGGCAAATATTCTTAATGTGAATGAATAAAATTTTAGAGTAAGCCCTTGCACCTCCCATTCCACTAAAATTCACCAATGATTAGGCAGTATAGGAATGCCAAAACATTTCCCACTTGGTAAGTCAGAGGCATCCAAGCCAACCTTTGCGGGTCTAGGGGAATCCAAGAGTTCAGATTCTGTTTTCTTGAGAGGGCAGACACCGCTGTTGCGAGGATCAGCATAAGCACTGGATACCGCCACCTGGACACTCACCGGCGTTGAGCTAGCCCTGTCTGGTTGGACCTCACCCAAAGTGCGATTGTCCACCTTTGGTTCGCAGGACTTAGGTCGCTTCAACGTAAATGGCCCCCTTCTCCCCATCACCATCTGCAACGATCCGCATCTGTCCTCTTCCGCAGTCACTGAAATCAATCGTCTGGGTTTGCGGCCAGGTCGTGGAACTCCAGGGTCTAACAGTGGTCTTGTCTTAATGAAGAACGAGTGAAACGGTACTGTATTGTTATTCATGGGCACGGGAAGTCTAATATACCTGCGTGCCGCATTTGAATGATTAGAAGTGGTAACCTTCATGTGGTGACACCCAATAGTCCCTTGGGTGCGGTCCTCTTTGTTGCCGCTGCTGTTGGTAGTGGCACAGGCCTCCGAATGCACACTCTCCATCATATGCATTGCAAGGGCGTCACGATTGAGAAAATCCTGACCACAATTTGAACAAATGAATTGTCCCTTCGCGGACGACGCATAGAGCAAGTCGGATTCATAAGAGGTGGACTGGTGACGAGTAAGGTTGATGGGCTTAGCTTCTATGTGATTCGATGCAGACTTCTTTTCTATTTGCGAGAGAGGAACGCTCTGTCCACAGAGACTGTTGAGCATGCAGAGCATCTCGCGAATCACTTCTGCATTGTTGTACACTAAGCCATGTGCAGTGTTAGTGCCCACTTCAGAGATGTTCTGTTTAACTAACGTTTCTACTAAATTTTTCTGCACCTCTGGTAATCCAGTCATTGTATCTGCAGAACTCTAATACAAGAAAAAAATTGTGTTCATATATACGTTTTTAAGACTAAACTGCTCTGCATCCAAGTGTCGAAAATGCAGGATGCAAACATTCTACTTCAGTACCCTCTGGTCCACAATGCCTTGCTTGGTTTGATCAATGGCGCATCTAGTACTTTTCATGTAACAGAATTTCCTTAATATTTCCCTTTTGAAAAGCCACTCTAATGGAAGATTGACAGGCTTTTGATGTAGTTAAAAATGCGAACTTTTTAAATTCACACAAAATGACATATTAGTAAGGTGAAAGCATAATCTACTTCATAGTCCACTCAATGAGAAAGAAGTGATTTGAGAAATCATTAACAGCGATAATCGTATTTACTGTAATGTTAAGTATGTGTTGGCTTCACCGTAAGCAACAAAGTGAATGGAGAATTAAGAGCAAGAAAACTGGAATGATAATGTGGCCACTTTACACAGCCTTCCACCGGTAGGAGAGGTGAATTATTCATCAGGTGAAACGCATGCTTCTGCCCTCCCACTCTGCCCTGTCCCAGCATCGTGCTTGAATAAGTTATAACTCCCAGTTCATGCTAATTAGAAAGGTGGTCAGAAACACATAGGTAGAAGCGGGGATGAATTTTACCTGCTACGCAGCCTCAATTATGCATGAGGGAGCTGCCTTGAGAGAGTGTATGCGTTTTCAATTATTCACGTCAACCGCGCCAGGATGGACTGTGCGCGAGCCATTGCGTGATGCTTTGAGATGCCTAGAACAAAGCGACCCAAGCGAGAGAACTAAGTTGACTGCTACGACGCCCACGACAACCGCTCCTCACTCTCACCGGCCCCATCAAGATTAATTCGCCTCATTATCATTTCCATGTGGACCCGTTTCATAATTCCAAAGTCATATTATGGTTTATTCAAATCCTACAAGTCGAATATCGTCTAGGTTCGGGATACCCAACCTCTTGCCCGTGAAAGGGGAAATTAGCAATTACTTAAGCCCTAGCCAAGGTAAGGATAAGTCAAATTTTACATGGAAATGAATGAGTCTTAATCTCCACTTAAACAAAAAAGGAATGCTTATAAGCAGTACATAAAGCAGAAGTGCTTGTAGCTATCATGGTAATCACCTAGAGTTACCGCGAAGCGTCATTCGTGTAGTACCACCGAAGCGATAAATATAGTGCACGAACACTCACTGACTATCAGTCATTCATTGTTAGCTTTGGACCCGGGAAAAAAATAAGTCAGATCAGATAAGAACAGAAAGCAGCTTGGTCTGGGTGTTCTTCTTTACGTGCCATGCCAACTCTCATGCGATCAGACCAAAATGATCATGGTGCCATGCAATCCTGAGTGCCTTTCTTTCCGAGTACTTCAGCGGTTAAGATTCTATTTTATTTAAGAAAAATTTCCAAGCCCTTTTGCCATTGATACGTGCTTTTCACCAAAGATTTGAATAAATTCATAAAATAGGAGAACCAAGTTTACAAGTATGTCCTTCACGAAATAGTAAATCTAATTATTTTAAAATGAGGTTGCAGCGCATCTTCAAATTTCAAACTTACATGAGCTTCTTTTGTTTGTATCTGTGACATGCCTAAGGGCAAAGTGCTCTGAAAAGGAAACAACGGGTTTGCCTGTTTGCTCTCCCCTAACCACTCATGAGTTCCTTCTTATCCACGTGTTGAAGATGATGAGCCGACTGCCGTTTTGATTGGTCGAATCTTGGCCAATAAGCCTTTTGCAGATCCTCCCAGAGAATATGCCACTTCACCTCGTAATACTTCATCACATTTATGTGGCAATTCATCATGGAAGTATGCACTGGAATCAGTACTGGTCGTCTGACTGTCTATCCTCCTCGTGTCAACCATCATAAGGCAGAGACTACGTTCTCTGGACTGAGGACCGTTATTCAAGTTCTGTGCTATAACACACCGCATCAGATGTTGAATATCAAATTCGTTAGGATATTTCAGTTAAAATCCGTTTTTTTTCAGTTTAAACTTCCTCGCCACTGGTGGTAATTAGTAATTGCGGTCCTGAAGGCTAATAATGGCATAGAGACGTGAGAGCAAGAATGCAACATGCAGCTCATTCTTCTCCCCCAGTTGTGACACCATAAAGTGTGATAAAGCCAACTGGGTGTTTTGGGAGCATGAGTTCGGTTTTTTTCAAATCGACTCCTCTTCCATACGAATTCATTCTGAGACATCAGGTTTGAGAAACAAAACTATCAGAAGGTTCTTTGATGCGAATGAAATTCATTTTCCTTTTGCCGTAATGGTGTTTAAGATCTAACTAACCTTTGGACATTCCCATCTCTAAAATGGCAGATCAGTTATCGTTTTCCTCAATCCTTGCTCCTCTACCTAATTATGTGCCTGTAGTCACACCGAGATCATCGTTAGATGTCTGTGTTCCTAGGAGGCACCTTCATTTGGGAACGTCACCGTGCTATGCTTAATTAATCCATGATTAAAATGTGTACATCCATCATTCCTTGTTTCTGCTTCTCTTTTGCTCATTCCTTATTTATTCTGCATATACAAGCCACCCTAATGCAGAAGAACAGCATAAACAATAAAGTGACACTAAATATGCCTTATAGGCTGTTTCATTATTAACGAGGTTCGTAAAATATGTCTTGTAAGAACATTGAAATATAGTTGCTCACTGAATACTGGCCTAGTCAGATCAGTCGATATTTTAATAATTGGTATCGCTGGGACCGTTACAAATGGTGCAACAGGAGGGATCAGGTCTGATCCACTTTCTCGTCAGAGGTGATATTGTGGAGGTTGGTTATCATTAGCCCTTCTTGAGGTACGGTTTTAGCACACCACAATGACAGTACTTAAAGTCACTTACGCAACTTCAAACATACACTTTCTCTGCCAACTCCCTATCTCCGCTGTTGTTGAGTATTTTATTCCAAAAAAAGCAAAAAAAATCACTCATTATATGCTGTTTTGGGGAGTGGAAACGACAAATCAGAGCTTAACAATACGTGCATACATTTTTCGTTGTTAATTTTCGAAAGTGACTTAAATAAATTAAGTAATACGAACCTCCACCACGAGAGGAGATTAGTGAGCATCCTGTCTATTGGAAAAGGTGTACCTAAGGCCTTTTCGTAGGCCTCACTCAATCATTTGCTTAAGTGATCGCTGTAACGTTGGTTTCCAAAAATGGTTAAGCAAACGTTTCACTTCATTTTGCTAATTTCCATTCGAAATATTCAGAAAGACTTTCAGTATAAAATACCACGCACCTACATGGCGAGGACAGGCAGATGGAAGTGGCAAAGAGGGACGTGCTTGATACCCTTCCCTTTAGCAGTTGCTTTAGTAAAAAATAATTTTACTGGTTTAATAACAGTGACAAATTGAGTTGGATGACCACTGCCTCACCTTATTGTTTGTCTCACTTTAACCTTCAACTCAAATAAGCAAGGTGTTGAAAATAAATTCATCCACAAAAGTCGGCAAAAACCCTTAGTTACTCAATGAAGAGGTTCGTTTCTGAAGGCAGTGCTACGGTTTGCGAATTGGTGCCTGATTCCATACAACAGGCTGTAATTCACAAGGTCTTAGAGTGAACTATCCCATTTTGCTTGGGCTTCTCTGTGACAGGCAAAACTCTGGAATAAATCCCTGCATTCCTTGACTCAGATTGTCAACATGGTTCAAGAAGTATTGTGCTAGTGTAGGATTTGCCTTTAGAGGTAGATAATTACTTTCGTATTCCGGTTCATAATCAAGTTTTCCATGCTCTTCTAGTCCTACCACCCCAACTTAACCCAATGCATTATTCAGTAGCTCCGTGGCACACATGGCTGCCTTCCACCGCTGGTAGCGAAGCTTTTTCGTTCTCCTGCAGTGGCACTTTTTTGCCGCAAAATCATAAAATAGTAAAATCCTGTCACATCAAATTATCTCTTTTATCGGAAAGGGGAGCTGCTTCTCTTCGAAGACAAGCAGCAAAGGGGTAGAAATAGCTTCAACGAAAGAAAACCTACTGCTCTCCACACCAGCGTACACCGCCACGGAAGTGCGCTACTGGGCAAATTTCCTTTTCGTGCATATATGAATACCGTCATGCTGCAATTACTGCGTGTGCAGTATACCAGGAAGTTGTCCAAAACTAAGTTTTTAAGCTAGCTGGAGTACTCAGCATCTGATTTTGCGTCGGACTATCTATTTAGCCATAAAGACGCGTCCAATTCCCCTCATCACTTGATTAGCTTGTAATAGCCTCAACATGCTAAAAGCCTAGTAACTGCATCGCTCCATATCTACCCCGGGAGGAGCGGGAAGTGAAACCAACGCCACCTGCTCCGATCCATAAAGCAGCACAAATCAGTAGTACATTGTAAGCTTTGTATTGTTTAGAGTTCTAATAAAAGTTTGTTTCTGCACTTGCATTCGAATACGTTTGATAGAACTCGTTTTCAAATATTAGTTGAGATCACAACTCCGAGATCTAATGAGCAGAGACCCTATGCTTATTCACGACTGCTGCTGATGTTGACTCGGTTCTACTTTACCAACCCATTGTTTTATCAGTCGCCTCCTTTGTTGGAAGCCCAATGCGGTTGCTTCTGCCTCGAAGAGTTTTTGAAGGTTCGACAAAGAATGTAAATGAAGGACTCATTGAATAATGCCTCCCATTTCGGCGATGACAGGAATGCTATTGAAATTCTGCCGAATCTATTCCTCAGTTCAGAAAAGAGCCTTTTCGTGTATCTCAAGACTTCCAAGGATATAGCACTCGACAGTGTCAAGCGTCCGTGACTGAAACCGAGAAACAGACAAACGGCAAAACCTCGTATGTCCTTAAAAACAGCCCGACTCGACAATGCAGGCAGTGAAGGTTATTTACAAAACCAGATGTTTTCAAGTACTACTTGACTGATGTTCGAAAAAGTGTGGACGTCAGAGAACAATAGAGTTTCTTGCACCAAACATTTCAGATACTGCATGAAACAATTGCCGCATTGGTCCATTGTTCAAACTTAATTGGTTACAATCAACTTTACGTTCTAAGAAGAAATCACATGGCACTGATGTTCATTCATATTAACAAACAAAGTGAGTAGGTCCTCGAGGTTAACTTGGGTTCCACTTTTAGTAAGCCATTGTAGAGTCCCAACTGATTACTCAGCATGTACAATTTCAGCAGCAGAGATTTCCTAAATGAAATAAATCTCATCAAGCGAAAGTCGCGAACGCAGGTTTCTGTGTGCACCTGACCGGAATATGCTGTCCTTTAGCAACGAAGGTAAATCTCAGTAGCAAGTTGATGTTGCGACACTGGGACCCTGAAAACTATGGTGCTCAAATATGCTGTCAGTAGGCTTTTGAAAGCACATTCTAATCAGCTTTGCGAATAAAGGAACGAATTAAAATACCTTAATTAAAGATAGAAAAAGCAGAACCCATGCATTAAAGTATGCCTTCTGCGCCTGATCATACGCTCTGTGTAACCGTTTCAGAGGATTTACAAGCGCCCACTCATTGCAGAGTTGAAAGAGTGAAATCTTGAAATAAACTTTAAAACGAATGTTGAGTGTCTTAATAAATACCATTTGAGGATAATCAGTAGTAAATAGTGTCAAATCAGTTAAAGTGGTTTTTTTACTGCTACAAATTCTTGATGGAATGTGTTGATTTTAAGATAAACTTATCCAAGTTTGTTTACACAATTGCAAGAACCTTTGGCGCGCATTTCAGTCTAATTTCCCTATCGTATCTTCAGTGACTTACATTAAAAATCATGGCATGAATTCTTTTAAAATCACACGAATAAGACATTAGAATAAGAATGGAATAGGTGTCTGCAGTAGTGAGGAAGAAGGATGTTTCAGTAACAAAAATGCTTGACTTTTGGGTCCCTTACGCCCCACGTAGTTGGATCGCAATCTTCATAACTACATTCATACTTCACAGACTCTATCTAGCCACTCTGACTATGGTCCTGTCGAAAGTCCAACTGTTCGCTGGTAAAGGACGAGACGAGGAAGAAGAAGAACAACAATGGAATCTGTCCTGGCCTTCTTTAAGTTGTTTATTTTGTAGAAAAAAGTGGACTTTATTAAGCAGTGCAAGAAAAATGTAATTGAATTATTTGTTAATGAGGCAAGTGGGGCGGAGAGGGGGCGCAGATGGAGTTCTGCCTCGAAGGCGTGACAGCAACGAATGCGGAAGTAGTTTGACAAAAGCCTTTAAATTATTCACAATCATGTCCCACCTCCATCCTTCTCCTTCTTATTCAGCCTCCTGCCTTCCCGCTCGCCCCCACCTGTGCTTGCTTGTGCACCTACGCACACACAGACGCACATCCAAGGGGTGTCATTGGACCACTGGGAGTGGCAGCAACAGCCCTTCAGATCCTCATCGCCTGGTTCGGCTGCACACACGCATTAGCGCTCTCTGCCAGTGTGCATCTGCACACGCGCGTATGCTCGAGTGGAACCGTTATGCATTATTAACAACCTCGAACACGTCGTCTAAGTTGAACAGGAGCATTCGCAGCAATGAATTATGCACTCACAAACACACAGAACAGTGAATACAATAGGCAGCAAGGTAGAGACTGTCTGCTTAAGTTTGGATGTTTGTTACTTCAACAAGGGATTTTTTTCAAGCAGTTTTTTGTGACTAAACATTAATGGCACTTTTTTCCTCGATATGGTTGGCAAAGGTCGTTTGTGAGTCCTCTGCATGCACGCTTAAACACCTTCAGTAGCAGATTCACTGCCAATTTCGTCCCGTCAGTGTTTCGTCTGTTATGCAACTAGTCGAAAAGGGTCTTTCTGCACTGCTCTTTTGATGCTATTTCCCCTGTCTTTTCCCTGACATTAAGGCACCAAAATAGATAGAACCGATAGGTGATGAGTGACACGTCCAACGGAACACATCTGCGTCCAAAGTAGCACCCTATAAGTGTGCCAAGAAGTGTAGCAAAAACTTTAACGTTGGTAAACGTCCCGATGTTGTCGTGCTTGTACTTTGTTTTCTAACTTTCCTCAATAATCATGTACTTGAAAAATGGACACGTCGGTGCTTTCCACTCCATTTGACAGCAAAGTTCAAAATAAAATGTACAAAACTTTTTTCGAATTCGGGTCATAAAATATTCTCAAAAAAACTTGACATCCATTCTTAAACGAAATGTAGATGAAAAACTTGTCAAAGCCATTTATTGACAAATGAGTCTAATTCAATGAGTTGCACGAAATTGAAGAAGCAAAACGTCCGGCTAAATCTAACAAAGTAGATTAACCGTGCTCATAAGTCAGCGGGGCCTTGGTACCCTATGTTCAGGATTTCTGGTGTTCCTCCCTCGAGCGGACTTGCCAAGGCACTGGCCCTGTAAATTTCAATGCCCGAGCAATCATCGGCGCAGGTACCTTTACAACTGGGCATGGATTCGTCGTAAATCTTTTTCACTCTCATTGTCCATTCATACTTCGGGCTTGAAGCCATAAGTCTCTTCCCTTCAATTAAATCCAGGAACTCATATCGGAAGCACCTCCTGGCAGTTTCATTTAGTTTTTCGATACTCTTTTGGAGCACCTCCCGAAATTGTTCTGATTGCATTTCTCCTGAGGAGAGGGTTGTCCATTCTGGTAAACTACAGCTGCTGATTAACTCTCCATTTTTACTAAAGTCTGCAGAACCATCATTGTTAGGATTGAACGTGATGTAGTGCTTTGGATCTCTCCATGGCTGAACAATAACCGTTGCCACCGCTTTCTTGTTCCCACTTAAACCAAGGTAGCAAGCCTTTGAACATTCTCCGTCATTTTCATTCGAGTAGATGGGAGCTACCTCTAGCTTTACGGCATATTTCATCCCAGCGACAACCTGCTTTGTAGCCTCGATAACTCTGACGAGTCGGAAGGAATGGCATTCATTCGCTTCATCCAAATTCTTCATTACCTCCGTAAGGGCTTCCTGAAACATAACCTCATTCATGTCTTCCTTAGTTAGGGGAGTGATACCGCCGACCATGCCTTTAGGTGGAGAAACAGCATCGCTTTGTGGTTGCTGTTTGCAGGCGAACGAGATGGTGGTAATGCACGAGAGTAGCAGAAAAGCAAACCGATTCATACTTGTTTCGTCGAATAACTAATTTGCGCCCACATGACTCCACTGCGCCAGTCTGTGTGTGATAGGTACAGAATTAGCCTGTGAGATTTTGTGTTTACGTAGCTAAGGTCAGCTGTTGCATGCGATAGGTCCTGGTTGTAGCTCTAACTTAAATAAGATCCGTTCCCACACTTTTGTTTACATTCCACCACAGGTCTATGCTACTTTGCCTCATATTCGCCATTAGTCAGTGTGGCAAACTAAGGAGTAATGAGACACTACATGGCTCTAACGCTGAGTTAACATTGAAATCAGAGAGACTTTATGTACTTTAGAAATAAGGTTGCACTACCATCACAAAAACAGAAACTCGCTGTAGTGTAATAGAATGAATGTTTCTGTTGTTTCTTTAACACCCAGTGTTGTTTTAATGTGGGCCATGCCAGTAGCTCCAGTCATTTCTGTTCTGTAAATATGCATATTTTTCTAAGCACCATGTCGTCTTTTGCTTTCAGAAAAGTCTTTGGGTGCTACAATACACTGATTACAAGTGATGAGCTCAAGTGTCAAACTGTAGATGCGGACTGATGTATTTTACTTGAGCTATTTGACTAGAAAAAAAGGTAGTTCAGACCCGAGTATCGGAGCCACTTTTATCGAGCCCTCAATCGTCATAATCCTCAACAATCTCCCTTCTTTGGGATATAATGCTACATGGCTTAGGAGATGAGACACAGGAAGAGAGAAAAAGGATGATTTGAACGCCTGCCTTCGCCGTACATGTCACAGTTTAAACAACTCATCCGGATTACATAGGCAGTCGTCACACTTCATGAATGCTGCGGCAAGAAAAGATTCGAGAATCTTTGTTAATGTTATCTGAATAACTTTTAATGCTAAGCAGCTCTCTTAACCATTATACCCTTGCTTGTAAAGGCGACGCTTGACATAAACTCGTTATTTTCCAATTACATGGAATGGAGTAGGATAAGAAACAAATATGACAGAGATGTTTACACTTAACATCTTTGTCTACATTGCTAATTATACCATACTAACAAGGAAGTGGCTTCTTTTTAGCTCTGCCTAACTTAAGGGCATTGCAGTGAGTGCAAATGCGTTTTAAATACTTCCAATTTGTTGCATCAAAATAAGGCTCTATGCGTATGAAATAGCAGCATTCATTGTGATACTTTGTTTACGTGACCACCTGATGCCCGGCGGTTACTCTAAGATTCGTCTGACCCGTGCACACTTGGGCTGGTCTTCGGGCTAAGCTCAGGCTTGATCCCTTCGGCCTCTCTGGAGTACATGTACTCTGCCCCACTTAATGCTTTCTTCTACCCGGTGTCGTTGCCAAGTAATGCTAGGGATCTAACTGTGTCTCTGTACTGTCTCTTAAGCCTCCTCTACCCTCTCAGAGTGAACACAATTGCTAGTATTTTGTAGCGTTATCAGCACCGCGAATTGTCCTGGAGAGGAAAACCTGAGTATATTATACCCTTGAACCTATATGAAGCAACAACGAATCCCATGAATGAAATGTTGTACAATCTGTATCATTTGAAACAGCTTTCCCATCAATGACAGCGTTCAATCTTATGTAGTTTACATAGCGATAAATTTAACGGAAACGCAACATCATTTAGATTTTAGCAATTCGTCATCACTTAGTGTGGTAATCAATGTTTCAAGGTTTCAATGTATCGCCCTAGTATAGTTAAAGCCACAGTCAGTCATCTTGCTCTGCTTAAGCTTGTGGTTCTCCTTATTAAGCTTAGCTACTATACAGATTACTCCCGGACTCTAAAATTTACCGAGAAAAGAAAGTGTATGGTACAAAGGTACCTCTTAAAGAGTAGATGAAAGGTATGCATGTAGTACTTTGTTTATGTAACCAAATGGCGTTTGGTGGTCACTTTTATGATTTGTCTGGTCCTTGTACTTGTGGGCTGGCCTTCGGACCATGCTCAGGCCCCACTGCTTTGTCCTGTTTGGAATACATGTATCTAGCTTCCCTTACTACCTTCATCTACGCGGTTGGAAGTCTCGAGACTCTACACTAATGGCAGCGGAAAGCGAACCGAACATTTTAAACAACACCTATCCTAGCACATCGTTTGTTACATGTACCTACGGTGTGGGTGGAGGCATAGCTATCTCGGTGGCGGGAGAACCCCTAAATCCTTCCCAACGAAAGAATCGAGAATGACATCTGCATTTGGGTCCACCTTATGCCCGTGTTCCACAGACAAGCTATTAACAACTGAAGCGACACCACCCTGAACCATCTGGAAAAATTTCGTGTCGGGATTTCCCTTACAAAATCCGTGTATTGGTGTCGGGAATGACGCTACGGTTGTCCTTATATACGGAACAGTGGCTCACCCCATTCTTCTTGCAACATATCCGGTTTAGATGAGAGTTCCACCGCCTAATCCTGGAAGCAATTGATGGTCAACAGGTGTAATCGGCCCTGAATTTGGTTGTAAGGCCGAACGTAAATCCAGGTCCAGTTGAAGCTGCTGGTTGGTGAGGTTGGCCCGTGGGTACTTTCTAGCGCCGAATATGCTGTGGTGGCTGGTGCTGTCGGTGTGCCAAAGGGGGCGCCGAGGACCTCGCTCATAAGAAGAGAAAAGCAGTATAGTGCTTTGTTTATGCAACCATCTGACGTTAGGCGGTCACTTTAGGATTTATCTCGCTCTTGTACTCGTAAACTGGCCTTTGGGCCATGCTAAGGCCTATTTGCTCTGCCCTCTTTGGAATACATGTATCCAGGTTCACTAAATGCCTTCTTCCACCCTATGGAAAGTCTCAAGAAAATATTTCGCTTACGATTTAAAATTATCTTCAGTAAAAAATTGTTTCAACAGAAAATGAAAACCATCCGACTAAATATGTGCACTACACCTTGATTTCGTTGATTTTCGGAAGCAGTGCAGAAGTACTTGTATTAGCTATGCCTTTTCACGCATAGCCTTTAAATGCCTTTTGTTTCGCCTTCATAACACGAATTGCGGCGGTAACCTAGCACGAATTGGCTTACTTAGCTAAGTTAATTATATTAAGCAAAGACCATTGAAACGAGGGCAGATTTGTTTATCATATCAATTAAAAACTGCGCGTAATTCACTTGTTCGGGGTGTTTTAGGTCTAGTCACTTTTAGTGGACTGGGTGCTGTTGTTTGTAATGTGCTTGATACATTACGAAACCTTATTTGCTTCTCAAGCACTTGTCCTTTTCTTGTTCATTCTTAGTATTTGTCTTTGAACTACGGTCAGAATAGCACCTTTAGTTCCTTATTTTACCTACCTTCCTTTGCGTCGTCTTCCTCTTGTCATTTTCGCTTGAATGTGTCTTAAGCGTTCTCGCTTGTAGCATTCCTTCGAGGTCCTTCTCCTGCGTTTAATACTTGTGGCGTTTTCGTGAAATCCTTGCAAATATCTGCCGCGTTTCCTGTGACATTTACTGTCAGTTAATCCTCGCTTATTAGAATTGCTTCGAAAATGGGAAAAAAGGCAAAATCTCGCGTTAAGGGTGCACACTTACGTGTGGCTTGCCTCTGTAGTGAGCTGCTCAGGTGTAAGCTCATCTGATGCCATTGTCATGATGCTTCACAAGTCTGTCTCACCCGTGCAAGATGGTCACATTGTGTTGCTGATTCTTTCTAGTGTGTGATGCTGACCCTGCTGTATTGGGAACAATGGATTGTTTTAGGAACCTTTATGAAGTTACTACGAAAATTCGTGACCTTCAGAAAGGTAAGGCTTTTATTTTGTGAAATTTCGGCCAGGTGCATCAATATCTCGTTTTCTCCTCTCAGGAGACCGAGAAGCGCGGTTTGAAGCCCTTCGAAAGCGCTACAAAGAATGCTTTCATTCCCATTTATCAATATGCGAATATGGTGAAACTGGATTTGGTGTACGAGCAGACGAGTCTATAGAAGTACGATTATCCGATCATTTATTTATTTTGGCAACTTTTAGAAGAATAAGTCACTTCTTCATGTTCCTCTAAAATATGCGCTTTCAGTTTCAAATGTTAGTGCTCCACTTCGTACGTTGCAATCACTTTGTAACTCTTGAGCAATAGCTAAGTTTGTCAGAGAAGACCCCCTGTTTACCGGCATGGATAATGTTGCACTGGCTATTGTTTTGCTTCATGAACTATCTCTAAATGGGAAGTCAAGGTGGAAGGAATATATTTGTAAGATTTTATATCAGCATTATTTGTTTCTTAAGTGTCTCTGCCAAATACCTATTCAACAGTTGCTTACTTCTCTGACACCGACTTCGCGATCCTCGATGGTTTTCCTGCTGCTGGTAATTTTACACATCTAAAACATAGTGTTTGTTTACCCTTCTCAAATTCTTTTAAATCAGAGCTATTATTGATCAGTATTAGGCGTGGTGTTGCCCAAAACTTCAGGCGCGTTGTTTATGTTTTCCTTTGCGTCGTACTCCACGGCACCTTGTGTCATACTTCTGCCAGTCTGTTTTAAAGCATGCAACTGCTATTTCTAGCTGCTTAACGTGATGAAGGGCCCTGTTTTCGTACTTCTTAAAAGTATGTACGGCCTTCCAACACCACAGGTTAATAACATCATTTCTCCTCAGGTTGTGGCCACCTTGGGTTATTTTCAGTCCTAAAATGGAATGCTGCAGGCACCATTGATTCTCTCACCAATAAAATTGCCTTGTTTTCGAGTGCATTTTCTTGAATGTTTCCTCTCAACCACCTGTTTCTTAGTCGTAGTTGCAACTGTGGTTGCTGCCATTTGACTCACTTTCTCTACTGAATCCACATACATTCATCCGGGTTGGTGGACTGAAATCGACTATTCCGATTCGAAAGCTTTTTATCCACAACTATCATACCTGACTAGACTATTTTAGCTCAAGTTATATCTAATGTGGAAGTTTCCATCGTCCTCTTAGCTGAATGTTTTCCATATGATCTTCCCTCTGTAAACTGTAGATGCCGCACTAAAAACTTATAGGAATATATGTCGCCAGTACGCGTACTTCTATCTCCTTTTTGAACGCGCAAAGCCGGTTGATTCTCTGCCAGCTTATATGAAACCGTTTTGTTTTGAAGACTACCAGTACGTTCCTGTGCCCTTGCTACCCTGTGGTGCATACATACCTGCTGTCTACCTTTCTTTTCTCTGAAGGTGGGCCATCTCAACTGTAATGAGCCGTAACAATGCTTTGCCAATAAAGGGCGATGGTGGTGAAAGGGTGCTTTGTCTAATTCCTTTGTGGGATATGGTTAATCACAAGCAATGTCAGGTGCGTTTTTTGTGTACACCAAGCCAGCCATTTGTTTTTTGAACCCTTGTCCATCACTTTCTTAACGATTTTTCCAGGTTTTTGAATTGGTTTTATGTACTCTCGAAACGTTGGTTCAGTAGTTTATCTCATTTCGCATATCCATTGCGCTACTGTGGATTCCATATTTTTCACTACCGTAGTTATTATTGAAGTGGACTAGTATCCCATTTTGTTGTTGCGACTGGGGGCTTTTCGGTGCGTTTATATCTGTTCACAAATTACTAAACTTGTCACCATATTCTGTTCGCACTTGCTAGCATCCGTGATCAATTTTATTGCTTTACTCTCGGCATCACGTACCCGGTATCCCAATTTATCAATAATGTTCCGTCGTTAGATTACAACAGAATATGATCCTACCTCGGAACGCATCGTGTTCTACGCCATGGAATCTTATCAACAGGGGGATGAGGTAAGCCGTTTTGATATTATCAAAGAAGCCTTATTAGCATACAGCACTTTTAAACTATCCTCTTAGATTTTCATGGATTACGGCAAAAGAACGAGCACTGAGTTCCTTTTGTACAATGGATTTGTTCCGGAAACCAATCCTTTTCACAATGTTCCAATTAATCTTGGTGTGTGAAATAATTGTTAGGTTTGGCTTATTCACTTTACCTGTTTTACATTAATATTATAAGGTACTATGCGTCATACTGGTGGCTCATTGAGTATTTATTTTGTCCAGGGCTGAGTAAGTTTGACAAACTCATGCAACTCCGTGCGAAAGTTCTCGGAGAACTGGGTTTAAGAAGGTGTGTAAATTATTTTTTGAGATCTGGACCATTTTATATTGGTGTCTAAAACATAATTTTTATCGCTGTAAGTGAAATATGCCCAGTCGTCTCTTCTCAGGACGGTGCCTTCCCGTCTTCTCAACTAGCAGCATTCGCTCGTGTCTTCGTCATGAAAGAAGGTGAACTGCATTTCTTTGTAATGTTGCCCCCTTTTCTTGCCTTGATGCTGAGGTTGTATCCTTTTGCTACTTTATTCTTTCATCACAAATCTATGCCAGACCGTTAAAGCCCACTAATAAATTCTCATTAATTTAGGCTTCTGGTTTGTCTTCTACTTCCTTTACACAAATGCTTTTAGCATTACATCAACTTTATTCACTGTTTACCGATTTTGGGTGGTATTTAGTCGCATAAGTCGTTGAGTTGCTTTTTTTCCCTCGCGTACAGCTGAGCTTCAAGTCGCGTTAGATGAAATGACCTCTGAGAGTCCCGATCCCCATGTCTCCGCCAGGCTCGTATCGGGGACCTTTTTACATACTCGAGTAGACGAAGAGGCCAAAAAGTTTATCGAGGGTCGTATCAAGCTGCTTATCCGCAACTATGAGTTCCGTCTTGAAAAAAGTCTCCAGACGGTGTGCTCTTGTTTCTCTACATTGAGATCAATATGTTGATCAGACTGAAAGTCTTTTGTTGCTATAATTCTTAACTCCTGCCTTTCGGTATATCAATTTGTACTGCAATTTACATGCAATGACTGTTGTTTTGGTTCTACTGTTTATGCTCTTCTGCTTCCAGGTGCCTATTGCGAGTCCGATTCGCGAGCAGTGCATTCGGCTATGCCATCACGATATTGCTACACTTTCCCAATGTCTAATTAACTTATCCGAACAATCCTGTTGAGTCTCCTTATGCATCCTTGCTCACCATAATCTGACTTTAAATTATCTGAACTGGTCTTTGTTTCGTCTAACTTCTGTATATTTTGCGTCATTATGCCTCTGAAAAAATAAATGTATTTCCTATATTCTTCCATCCTTGCTACTCTCCGTCTCTTAAGTTGTTTGTTATGCGTGACCAATCCCTGTTTACCTCCACAAGCTTTAAATTTTGATTGTTTATGAAATTTGTTGCTTACCAACTCTAAGTAACAGTTTAAAGTATGTTTACGCTGGACTTTTCTGAACCAACTTCTATTTTTACCTAAGTGTTCACTAGTGGGGAATTTGTAATTCATAGATTTTAACCGACCATGTTAAAATTGACACTGACATGAACTTCTGAGACTCGAACAGGTGTTACTGATATTTCAAACAGGAACTGCCGGCAGCACGCAACGGACTTACTCAGCGGCCTCTTTTCGGAGGAGCGCTTCAAATTCTTTTGCCCTCACCTGTGCAAGACGTTAGGTAAGTCTCCATCCTCATCCAAGTCAATAATCGGTTATGGTGTAATTTTTGCATTTTTCAAGATCAGTTTTGTGCCATTATGTATTCAAGTTGCTACTTATTTGCAAATTAGTACGTCAAACAGTTTACACCTTCTAGAGTGGTTGAACACACTTCAGTCACTTCAGACAAACTGAATTAAATCGTTTGCTTTTGCACAACCTAACTAGATCTTGAGGCTACCTGGCATTGAGAATGTTGTTTTATCACCCCATAAGGGGATTGCTTCCGCCCACCTGTTCCAAATGTATATTAAGGACGCATCACGATTATTGTTTTCACTGCTTCGATTTCAAAGATGTCATTTAACCATGGGACTTTTTACCTTCCCGTCTTCAAACAATTCCAAATATAATAGATTTGAACTATACTTTTTTTCATTTGTCTAATACTAGGCTTTTACTCATGAAATTGAGCTTGTCTACCTTTCTGGTTTATTTTTGTGTCTTGGAAGATATCCATGGGATCGTACTTTTCTGGCATCAACAAGAGGTGCTTGTTTCGCTGGCGTTCTTATTTTGCAATGTATTGCAGCATTCCTGATCGCTAATAGCTTTGGGTACTTACATGGTCCTAGTACATTCCGTCAAGTGCCGGACAATCAGGAAGTTTTCGTCAACCCTTCAAACAACCAGAGCATTACCATTGATATTCTCGAGGCTGTTTCTCCATCCGCTCTTCCTGAGGCCGTGAAGTAAGTTATTTTTCGTTCCGTTTTGTGTGAGCTGATAGTAGTGCTGTGAATTTGGCTTTGCACAATACTTGCATTTACTTATTGGTGGAACAGCCGCACACTATCCTGATTATTTTCTTGTAATAAAAGCGAATACGATGGCTCTGTTATCAGATCTATTTTTAAAGATTAAGAGCTCTGTCTACGTCAAAGAGGTGCAATTTCGCAAGACTATCGAGGAGCACTTATTTCGAACGCTCCTTCGTTTTCTAATTCGTTCCGTGAAAACCTTCTTGGAAATTTATTACCTCAATTAACTCTTTGGGTAAACAACAACCAGGAAAGTAAACTCTCTGTAATTGATAATTTATTCTCTCTTTTGGCACGGCCTTCTGAACCAGGTAATGCTAGTTTTCTTCCTTTAAGACCGATTTTAGTAGAAAAAGGATTTTCAAAGCCGTACTTCCAGTTGTATTACTTTGTCTGCAATGGTAAATCAACCCATAAAATTATTTTGTCGAAGTTGGATGGCCTGTTTTTTTGCCGAAAACAATCACTATGTACCAGTGATGGTTTCACATTTTGTGCTTTGTTGATTTGCTCGTATTTTGTATTATTGCCATTCGGTGGTCCTCTAGCACTATTCGTTCAGATTTGCAAAAGGAAGTTGAAGAGTGTGACGACTTGAACGTGAGGTTCCCCATCTCATTTTAACCTTCTTTTAACGGGCAGCGGCCAAACTTTGTTCTTAACTTTAAGTAATCTTCCGCTGCGCTGGTTCTCTAGTCTTGCTCAGGCTTCTTCTCATTACTACAGAAAAGCTCGTTCTGACTTTTGCCTTCACTTAATGCGAAAACCTGTCCCATAAAAATTTAGAACTGTCATTACGACTCTTCTATGGTGACCTTCGATAATTCTTTAAAGTACTGAAAGTTTGTCGTTTTGGTATTGAGTAAGGTGATTCTACTTCTCTACGTTTGCTTTGACTGGCGTTTTGACCTCGTGTTCTAATTATGTTGGCCGGTTTCGACTGCGTCATAAGCGCTGACTTACTGCATCCACAGGTCCTAAGGGTCGACTTAAATCCCGTTTTCCTCAGGCCTGAAAAAGCGCCAAGGTCCTCAAGCTCCGGTTTCTAATTCCTGATGTTTCATCTTTTAACTAATGGAGCGGGTTGTTTTATTGTTGTCGTCCTGTTCTTAGTGCAAAATTTGGTTTATGAATTAGCTTATTTTTAATAAGGTGAATTCTTTCCTATCCGATGCTTGGCAAAATTCGTCCTTTTAAATTTCAGCGTTCATTTCCAGGAAATCGTCAACTGCAATTCTGCTTCCGATTCAGTTGTGGATTCCATTGAAGTTCAACATATATCCAAGTAAGAATTTTGGGCGTTTAAATATGCTGTGTTTTGTGTTGTGGAGTCGGTGTCTAACGTGTGCCTGTTTCGAGGAAGTTTGGAATGAGCCTACATTTTGAGTTGGCTTTCTGTTAACGAGCTTAACATTGCTTCTTAGTCTTGAGTTTAATTTTTATTGTGATTGTCCTTCAGTGGTCCTCCAGCTGTACTTCTTCGCGGAAAGCAGAAAGTTTCCAAGTTTAATCGATTGCAATCAGATCTTGTAGGCATAGCGATCATGCTCTACAGATTCACCGATTACTCCGCCGATGTTCTGGTTTGTTTCAACGATCCCATTGTGTAAGTTTCCTATCTCTTCTTCATCGCAGACATAACAAAGCGAATTCGAGTAGCTTTACTTTGTTGTAAGCTTACAGGCTTTAATGCAGGATGGAATAGTTGGAAAACTTCAATTACTGGATTGTAAATGTATTTTCTTATAATCACACCCCAATGTCTTACTAAATTTTTGAGCAGATCTCGCCGCCCAATTTGCTCTTAAAACGTAGTGGAAATCAGACTTGTCCACGTGAGCTTTCTTGTTTCATTTATTTCAAACGCGAAGATCAAATGGGCGCTTTTGATGTTAGCCTTTTACCTGGTGATACTTACGAGGGAGTATCACCGAGACTGCTATCAGTGCCTCAGCCAACTACTCTACCACGAGTGGCAATTGAGCATGTCAGGTGTCATCAATATCGGTAACATTCTACTGTACGTATAGGAGGTGGCTCTTCCGTTTCATACAACATCTCATTCACGGCAACTGTTGGGTATTTTTTTGCATTTAGCTCTATGATTTCGTCACACTGATGCCTTACCAAGGGGACGGTTTTGCTACCTCTACGTCAGTGTGATTGGTTGTGCCTGTGTTAGATTACTGCAGCACCGCTTAATCTAGCTTGCGCGTCAATTGGCTCCTCATACTTTGGTTGGATTGGCCTAAAGCAGTCGCTGCAAACACCACCCTTCAGAACTGACATTATTTGAGCTCTCTGAGAATATATCACTTTTAATGCAGTGACACAGGAATCTTGGGAGATGCGATGGCTTCCATCAGTAGTGTTGAGTATCTGGCCTCTTTAAACTTCCATCGTCGTATCCATATGTCGTTGTCATAACTTCGCTTTGGATAAGTGTATTATCTAATTCATTTCTTTGAGTTTTTATCCGCTGGAGTAGTCCCTTCATAGTGCAAGAACAGAGTGGACGAAAGTACGATCAGTTCATCCTGCCTATACAGGATCGTCCAACTCGTCAGCAGGTGTTTCATCGCATGGTCTGCTGAGAGCTAGATCGGTGCCGTCCTGTGCATTTGGCGTTTAGGCGAACCACCACTCCTACTTATCAATTATTCAGTATATAGGACTTTTATGACACTGTCGAAATCTCATTCTCTGAACCTCATACATTCATTGCTATGATATTGTTTTCCTGTTTGTAAATCCGATTTGCTCACTATCACTATTTTTAGTCTATTTTTTCTACGCAGAGCCATTTAATATAGTTCTGGGGAGAATTCACCATCACTACTTTTCTTTCAGAAAGAAAATGATATCGACATCTCCATATCCAACGTTACCAAGCGCAATGCCTCCCCACTGAGCTGATTTCCACAAAATTGAATTTATTTCGGCTTGAAGGTCAAGCTTCGAGCTTTGGTCAGCGACCTGAGCTAAACATGTCTTGTGTTCGGAGGTCGCCAGTGGGTTTTATTTGCGCAGCTTTGTTGTAAAAGCATGAAACGGGAACGGTGCTCGTCCACAATCTCCAAGACTTTCTTAGTTCGGGGACTCCGTTAGGTGCTTTTGCGTCTATGGGATTTTTCACTATTTTCGTTTTAGGAATGGGACTGTTTCAGTTATTCATAGGTGATGGTTGAAGCTTTCACTGTCCGCTAAGGTAGTTATAGTGTTTTTGCTTTTCACTTGGCAAAACAACTGCACTTCAGATCTTTGCAAGCCTCTTCGGTCGGTTTGGCAATCCACCTAATCAACGGTCAATAAGGTTGCTGTCACTTATTTCGTTTTCCATGATGCTTTTTCTGCAGCCATTTTACTTAGCTACGAATAGGTGCTTCCACGTCTTCCTCGCTCTTACACGGAATCATGTGATGCTATTATCCCCTCCATTTGTTCCTGCATCAGGTCATGAGCTTTCACCGATCTCCCTCTCCTGTGTGTGTTTGCCTGTGTGCACACTTCCCACCGCTTGACCGCTGTTTTATTCCAGTAGACCTGTCATTGAAGTAAACTTTTTGCGATGAGCAGCACCTGTTGTTCAGTAGTGGATGAGATATTAAATGTGCTGGCGATACTGTTTTAGTTTTTACTGACCTGTGTTTTACTTCGGTAAACTTGTACATTGCACGTTTTAATCCTCGCAATGTACATTTAATGTGACGAGGTTACTATGAGATAAGGTAGTGCTCATTTATTCAAAATTCTGGAGTCGTTCAAAATAAAGTGGTCGCGTGTAGACAATGCCATTTCTCATTTTTTCTTAGATGTCAAGACCAGAGTGAGGTGCCTCCGTCCGGTCGATGGTCAGACGAGCAAGTGAACACCTGCCTGCATTCCCTTGAACTTCTCGATCCAAACATCTTCGTTTCCTGAGCCTAATCCTCAAGGGCTCATTCTGGATCTCTAACAACAGCCTGAGGTGTCTAATTTCAGTCACCTCTTACACCGCTGTTTCCGTATAAATTGGTACAAATAGATTGTTTTTGGATCAGTTACTTTTGGATTCTTTGCTGAGGTTATTTGCAACCAAAATGTATGGGTTTTGGAATTTCCTATAATTCTGGACTTCATTCTGATTTTGAGTATTAATACTTTACTTTCAGATTTCTTGATGGCTTAAAGCTCAGAGGCCATTCTGGCAAATTGTCTATTTTGAGGTCATACCTTCTGTAGCATGAGCTTGTCTAGATGGAGCAAGTGTTTGTAAAAGTGAATCGCCTGTTACATATAACAGTCAACTCATTGTGAAACCTCCCAGTCCATCTCACCAACGAAGAGGTCGTTAAACCCTCCGTTTTTCTCCCTAAATGTCACAGTTCTAGCAAGTGTGATCGAAATTTTACTGCACTGATTCCTTGCATCATCGGAGAGGTCAAGCGACATATATCCGATCTGTCGTGGTGCCAGCTATGGGTAAGAGAATACTGAGAGTACCTTGGACGTAGTCAGCTCCACGCTTACCACATCAGCTCATTTAAGAGAATTGATGGAATTGACAATGCATAAAGCTGTTAAATATCCTCTAAAATCACTGACTTCATGGAGGGGGGAACATGGTGCGCCAAACATTTTTTTATCGATGTTGATTTGTATGCTCGTTAATACAAGCTGAGGCAACAGAAGTTTGGTGTGGTACTGTTTACAGAA